CACCACACGTGGGCAGGAGACATAACTTTAGAAACTTTCTATTCCAAATCAGTCTCACAAGATTCTTTTTCTTTCAGTTTTCCTTTCCGCAGATTTTCTCTGGCTTGGCTGATGAAAGTGAGGTATGAGAGTAATTCTTGAATTGACCTTGCTAACCTCTAATTCTCTAAACTCTTAGATATAATAGTCTCAAGGTTAAGTGAACAACAGGCCTCTAAACAAAACTTTTGACCTCAGAATATCAAACCTCAAATGGGATGGATGGTTGACTTTGGTGATGGTCCCAGAGCCCAAAGTGTGACCCTGTCAGAGGCCATGGAACAAGGATTTAGTCTCCTGTTTGACAACCGCAAGATGACCCTGCATGTGCCATTCAATGCCACTGGAGTGACTCGCTATGTGGTAAGTATGAAGCTTTCTGCACCACCACCCAGGCAGACCACTACTCCTAAATCCAACCATGATCTCAACCATATTGTCAAATTGATTGACAATACAACCCATTCAGTAAGTATACTCACGTCTGCTATGTGCCAAACACTTCACTGAGCACTTAAAGACATAATAGTGAGCAAAACAGACACGGTCCTCACCTCAGTCTGGTCACTTCCGCATAGACTTAAATCTACAGTATGATATAGAACAAGGGTTCTCTTAAGTCTCATGAACTAAGGTCTTCTGTTTGGGTTATTGTCCTATATCTTGCATTACAGTAGGTGTTGGTGCTTCTTGGGCCAACAGTCAAGACAACACTAAATGTACTGAAGTACTTAGGACAGGTCCTGGCACACGTGTGCTCAAGCATCAGCCACGTTAACAAGAACAGTCCTATTTCAGAGTATAAGCATTCTTGCAAACATCATGACTAATTAAAATGATCATGAAATAAAACCAGTTCCTGAATACATCTGCATAGAAATGATCACCTACAGGTCATACTCACAGACAAAACTAGTTTTCAAAATGTTACAGAAGACAAAATTCACCAGTCACTAGAGAAAATGCCTAAATTCTACATGTGTCAAAATGGTGCCCAATATGAATATGTGCTTGCCCTGGTGATTCTTACTAGTTGAAGATTTGAGTAAACCAATGTCTCTGACAATACTGTTCCTCCAGCAAGGTAACAGTCATCTCTACATGGTGCCTCTGAAGCTTTCGTTTGTATCTCCTGGGCAGAAGATCACCTTTTCGTCACAGCTTATTTGTGTGTTAGGTAAGGCCTCATGAAGCTGAGGACTCGGTTGTGGAAGACACTGTTCTGGGGACTGTCAAGGCTGGTGATAGGCATTCTATTGATCATCCCTTCCAGATCCCGTGACTTGCAATGCCACACACATGACTCTCACCATACCGGAGTTTCCTGGGAAGCTGAAGTCCGTAAGCATCGAAAACAGGAACATCGCAGTGAGCCAGTTGCATGACAGTGGGATTGAAATAGAAGCAACAGATGGCTTGAGATTACATTTCAGCAAAACTCTTCTTAAAACAAAGGTATGTTCCACTATCAACCTCTGAACTCTATGAAAACCTGACTTGAGATACATCCTTGCAGGTAACCTTGATACAGCTGCCTTGGGCATAAATTAATTGCCAGTGTAACAGATTCAAGCTTCAGATGGCCTCCTTTGATTACTTTGCATAAATGAATTTTCAAGTAACTGAAGTTCACTCTCTAACACCAAGCCTCTTTAACTTCTATAATGGAAATTCTCTTAGTCTTTCTCAGTTCATTGAGTAGTAAAAACTACTTGTCAAATGCCTGAGCCTGTTCTGTTAAGAACAGAACAACTTGATCCAAACAAAATGGTCCCTCGCAGTCCTCACTGAGGCTAATCTTGACTGATGCAATTGCTAGGGACACCAGAGAATAATCTTATGTTAGGCTATGTTTTGCAATAGCATTTCATAACATCTGGAGTCTGGCTCAGACTTGCTTGGCAGGGTACTCTGCTGTTCCTTGGAATTTGATCTGTTAGCTCAAGCTTGAATGTTTAGTACAAAGAGCATGCAGTGCTGGGTGCTTCAGGGCATGAGCTTAAAGCAACAAATTTCCTGCCTGGGGAAGCATCCTGATCTGGAGAAGTGATAGGGTCTCTTTTTCTGGCTTAAAGGGAAACCTGGTAAGTCTGGAATGTACCCTGAAACATTCATTAGACTTCCTTCCTCCTTCCCTGTAACTGCTCTGGGCCCCAGACAGTCTGTGGCTGCTGAGTGATGTTCTCTCATTTCAGTTCTCTGAAGGATGTCCAGTCTACCGGTTCTACTTAATGTCAGTCAAGTTGACCTTTTACCTTCGACTGGAGATAGTATCCATGGTGATTTTTCCTGAGTGTCCCTGTGAGTCACCAGTTTCTATAGGTAAAAACTTCTTATTAAAACCACTTTTTACTTTTTCTGCTTTAGTTCTTCTTGCACATGTGGGAAAACAGAAGTTTAGATTCTGAATTGTTTATTTAGAGAAACAGACTCTCTAGATAAGCTTCTATGGGCCCCTAAGCATGATATTTCTAAAACATCCATACAGGTAGAATTCACTGTTCCATATTCAAGTAATCTGAGTATTTTAGGTTACTATCTACCGTCTAGGGAAGAATGCCTCAAACTTCTAACTAGCAGGACTATAAGTCTAAAAGCTCTTCCCCAAATTCCTACAAATTCCCCAAAAAGAATAGAGTGGGTTCTCTCATTCAGCATTGCCTGTGCTCGGTGCTGCTCTCTAATCTCTGATCTGCATCATGTCAAACCAAACTGGAAAAATTAGTTCCTGCTTCTTCCCCCAACCCCCACCCCACTCAGGACTGTGAATATTGAAAGAAGGGACATCATAACACAAGGCACTGTCTGCTGATCAAGTCACTTGAGCCCCTTATCAGGATTTTCTCATTGTCTTACACTACTTAGTGCTCTTTCCACGTCTCCTGGT